GAGAGGGAGGCGGGGAACTGCCCCCTCCGGGCCCGGTCCTCACTTCACCCGTGCGCCCGCAGCCCGGGTCTTCTCGACAGTGACGGCCGTCTCAGTGCTGCTGCTGCTGCTGCTCCTGTCTCTGCTGCGTCTACTGCGCCGACGGTGAGGGCGCTGGGGCAGGGCCTGAGGGCGGGCTCCAGCCGGGTGCCTGACGCCTCGGTGACCCCGGAGCGCGGGGGCCCTGGTGGGGATCTGGGGCCCAAGAGGGGAAGGGGGCTAGGAAGGGACTCCTGGATTCTTGGGGGGCGAGGCCTTGGGTCTCCACAGAGCATCGCACTTGGGATCGCAGGTAGCGCAGGATGCTGGCAGTGGGGTTGGGTCGGGGTCCGGCTGACGTCTGCTCCCTCTCTAGGAGCTGTCTGCTGGCTCCGGGTAAAGGGGCCCCGGCGTTGGAGCCTTCCCGGAGCCCCGGGAAAAGCTGGGCCGTGTGGTATCACCGGCCCCGAGGGGTGGCTCTACCGTGCCCCCCCGGGGACCCCCAGGCTGAGGGTCCTGCGGCGGGCTACCGTCCCCTGAGCGCTTCCAGCCAAAGCTCCTTGCGCTCGCTCATCTCCGCCCTCTGACTCCGGACAGCCAGTGAGATGGATCCCGAGACGCCTTGCCGCACCCTACCTCGGCCTTCTGACCCTTTAAGGGCAGCTCGGCCTCTGCTCATCTCGGGGAGACCACAAAGCGAAAAGGAAGCATCTGGTGCTATTATCGGGAACTTGGCCTGACCCTTGAGGTCCAGATGGTCGAAGCCAAAGGGCAAGAGGAACCCAGCCGTCTTTCCCATGGACCTTGATGTGGGGGCTGTCTCTGCTTCCAGAAATCTTTGAGCTCCTCTTGGGGTGATCCTGGACTGCTGCCTTCAGTGAAATGTCAGACGTCAGCAAAAGTGATCAAAAGGCCCGCCACAGACTTTGAATAAAGGACCTATTTTGGTACAGGCCTGGGCGAATTCTTAGGTAGTGGAAGGAGCTATGTTAATGAGGGCACAGAAGCCGAGGGTTGCGTGTGTCCATGCAAATGAAGGAGCCGCCTGGAATGCAGAGGACCACGAACAAGGAAGAATGTGTGGGCGAGGTCCTGTAGAAGTGGGGAGAAGGGAGGAGACTGGTTGTGGGTACAGTTATGCACAAAAGGGGTGCCCTCCTGTTCCTCGATCAGGGTGGACGGGGTGAGGGCCTGTCTTCCCCTCGGTTTCCTCCCTGTCCTGGGCGCCGGGACGGAGGGTGCGCCTCATGGGCAATAACAGGGAGCGAGTTGAGCCGAGCACAAGCTCGAAGAAGCCCGCCCCAAGGGCAGAGCCTCGCCCCAGGGCTCCAGGCGCGTCAGGCACGCCTCCAGAGGCTTGGGTATCTCGGAGCGCTTTGGAGTGCCCCGGAGGAGTCGGGCCGGTGGAGAGATCACCCCCGGAGTGGGGGAGCGCCGGCTCCAGGCCGGACTCGTCCGAACGGGCCCGAGATGGCAGCACCTTGGACAGAGCCCGGGCTGCGGAGTGGGGCGGGGTGGTGGGGCTGTGCCCTCGACGGTAGGTGCCCAAATGTGGGGCGACCTGCGGTCATGCGAAAAGCCCGGGCGCGCAATACTAGGGGAGGCCAGGTGCCGGAGTCGCTCCAGCGGTGCCCCAGGACCCGAAACGTCGGGTCCCAGTCCAACAGCCACCTCATGCAAATGAGGCTGGTACTGCGAATATTATGCTAACCGGGCGAAGGCCCGGGAGGCCTCGGGGCGGAGCCTCACCGCCGGACACGCCCATTGGCCCTCGCCGCGTCGGCGTCAGGCGCCAGCGCGCGAAACGCTGGCAGGATGGCGGGGCCGTGGGGCCGGGGCGGAGCCTGGCGTCCCCTCCGGCGTCCGGCCGCTCCCGTCCTCCGAGTGGGGGCCAGACGACCGGCCGCCGCCGCCAG